CCCCCCCAGGCCAGCTGCTCCTCAGCAGGGAAGCTGGGAGCCGTGGGGGGCAGGAGGAGCCAGGCGGTTACTCTCCTCCTGGAAGCCCCTGGTCCTCCAGGTTGGTTGAGCTCCGTCTGCACCAGAATCACCGGGGAAGGGGGGCTAGTCAGCAGCACAGGGGCCCCTGAGGATGGGGCTCGGGGACGAGCCCGTGTCCAGCCAGGCTGCTGGGTCGCTGGTGGGCGCTGCACTTGGCGAAGCTGGAGAGAGGGCAGTGGGGGCCCGTCCGGGAGCCGCCCCGGGAATCACAACGAGGCCCCGATTCGACTCCACCCGCCTCTCACGGCACCTTGAACGCGGCCCCGCGCTGGAAGGCCGCCCCCGCCGCCCGGTGGGAACGCGCATTCGCATTTTATGGCAACAGGGACAATTTAAAGCCAGTCTGTTGTGTTTTTCGTGTCTGTTTTTTTTTTTTTAAACAGCGACCTTTAGACCGAAACAAACAAAAAAAAATAGTAAAAAGTAACCCATAACTTTAAATCTTGCCCTTCGTAATTACTCCAAGCAAACTACTTTATGGATCAATATATATGTTTTCCTTCAGAAGAAGCATTTTAAACTTTTATATTTGTTCTTGGGTTAATAGGTCAAAAGAGGGCGGCCTGGAGAATTTCCACAGATGTCACAAATAGTGTTTTCTTTTTATGGGAACATTTCAGTGGGAAACGTGTCTCTTTCCTGGGAAAGCGTTTTCTCATTTGTCAGAAACTCAAAAGCTGTGTGTGCAGGGGGGTCACTCCGCCCGCGTACGGGACATAACTCCTCTGTAAACGCCAGTGTTTTTCATCGTCGGGTATTTCTGACCGTAGCCTCAGGGAATCATATTAGACCAGCTATAAACCATGTTGACTTTGACAATCAAAAACCCAGTTCTTTTTATCAGCAGAGGTGGGTTTATTTGGGACCAGCAGAGAATTACAGGTGGGGATAAAGATGCTGCAGTAAACCTGTGATGCAGCCCCGGCCGGTGTGCTCAGTGGTTAGAGCTTCGGCCTGTGGCCCGAAGGGTCGTGGGTTCGATTCCGGCCAAGGGCACGTGCCTGGGTTGCAGGTTCGATCCCCGGCCCCAGTCAGGGCGAGTGAGGGAGGCAGCCCATCGATGCGTCTCTCTCACATCGACCTTTCTCTCTCCCTCTGTCTCTCCCCCTACGTCCCTCCCTTCCACTCTCTCTAAGACACAATGGGAAAAATATCCTCGGGTGAAGATTAAAAAAAGCCACGCACAAAACTGTGATGCGAGGTCTGGACAGTCGTCGCTCTAGTTCGTCCATAAACGCGATCATTCCGAATTTAAATCAACTACAATGGGCCCTGCTCCCAGTCAGCCCAGCTGACAGAGGTTCCATCCAGCGTCGTTTGCTTTGCCTTTTCTGACGTAAAGACGTTTCCTACACGGAGTTTGTTCCCACAGCTCCCCGACTAGGACCCTGTGTCTCATCCCGGGTGCATCTCCCACAAGGAGGCTCCGCGCGGGCGGCCCTGGTTCTCAGCCGCGCTGCTGAACCACTGATTCACTTATGAGACCTGGGCCAGAGAAATAAAGACTGTAGTTCAGCGTGTGCCCAATGCACACTCAGGGTCCTGCGCTAGGGCTTCCCCACGAGCAAATGCTGTTTAAGACAGTTCACGTATAAAAACGAAATCCACATGGACACGAGCCGTGGTTTTTTTGCAGAACAAACGTGTAACAGAACAAACGTTCAAGCCAAACCAGAGCACCGTTAGCAGAATATTTGCATAGATTTTAATATGTTAACACGATGTAATGTTTTGCAGCCTTTGAAACTCATTTTAAAAACTCATGCAAAAATGCCAAAGACGGGGATAGCACCACATTAAGTGAAAAGATGAGAGGATAACCTCCCGGGAGGCAGGTGTGCACAGGTGCCCATCTGCGGTGGCAAAGCTGTGCGTTTAAGGAATTCCCTGTCTCCTCGCTGGTTTGGCTTTACCGTAAAACTGAACAATTTGCTCGCTCTGTATGAGCTGCTAGGAATCCGGACCAGCCCGACGTGGGCGTCCTGTGAGGTCAGTCCCTGCCCTGTGACCTCCGTCTGGCTGATTCGAACCCCGTCACCTCGAGCCCTTTCTCTCCTGACAGCAGCAGTGAGAGCGATGGCATGGGGCTCACCCACGTGCTTCTGCGCCAGTTCGAAGACAAGGAGCTGCTCTGTGCCACCCCGAACCCGGACCTGTGAGTACCAGCTGCCCTCTGCACAGGCGTCTCCTCCAACCAGTGACCCACAGGCCGGAGACGTCCCGTGGCGGTTTGTGTTCAGGTGACAAGTTCACGTTCCACGAAGTGAACACCTGCCAACCGAGCTGGTCAGTGCTGAACAGACCTGAGGCGACTGGCCTCCTAAAATGACCCGAGATAAGCTATGTAATTGTCCCTTTCCGTCCTCGGCAAACACATGGCTTATATTATTGCAAAAATCATTAATCAATAATTAATAGCATCCTGCTTCTTATAATAAAACCCAAAGCTAAAACATTAACTAGCAATCACATGGGAAGTATGTATTACCTGTCATTTACTTTTAGGGAAAACTTGCACATGTGGAAATATTAGCTATACTTTTTTTTTTTTAACTTAAGGGACTTGAGTCAGTGACTTCAGTTTGGGAGTGAATTACATTGAATATTTTCTTCCTTGGATTTGAAAATGATCCTATAGACGTGACCTTTTTAGAGAGACTGGAAGGGAGGGAGGGAGGGGGAGAGAGAGAGAAACATCGATATGAGAGAGACACATCGACTGGGTGCCTCCTGAACCTGCCCGACTGGGCCGGACATGGAACCTGCAACCCAGGTACATGCCCTTGACTGGGAACCGAATCTGTGACCCCTTGGTCTGCGGGCTGATGCTCTAACCACTGAGCACACCAGCCAGGGCTCCCTGACTGTTATTTACTGAGGATCTACATCAGCCACAGCAACCAGGGTACTGATGGGATACAGCTCTGGTCTCAGGACTTAGTGGCTCTGGGTGGAGCAAATGGGAAAAGTGATAAAAACCATTATGACATATGAAGGACAATAGTGTATGTTCTTAAGCCATAAACGTAAAACCCAGACAATAATGCGATGCTGGGAATATCTTTCTCTGATTTATGGTGACACTCTGCCCATTCGTCACGGGGGCCTTTAGCTGCAGGCTGGATAGCTGCTGTTAATGGCCTCAGTGAGGAAGGATTAATAGAAACTTAATTATGTTGTTTCCCTTTAGTCTTCTCCTGAAAGACAAAGTAATTACGTTAACTAAGTAAGAGCTTCTCCACAATGCTTTCATTCCTCTGCTCCCGAAACGAGCAGGATGTGAAATCGTCTGCAGAGGGGAAACCGAAGGTGGCCTGGGCCCCGTCCGTCCTGGCCCAGCATCGCCGCAAAGACAGGGCAGCTGGCAAGAAAGAGACGTTTCTTTATCTGGTCTCTCGAGAGGGAGAAACGGGTAGAATCAATGCCAAGGACAGCAGGACACATCCCAAATTCTGTCCGGACCGCGATTTCGCTTCTCGGTTCTGTCGCAGGAGTGGCTGTGGCCCCCAAACTCCCCTCAGCCCCCGGCCCAGCCTGCCGACCGCCCTCAGCATCTCTCCGTTTACTTTGTAAAATCCAGGGAGTCTGTCCTTAGCTTACTCCTGTTTTGTAACAATTTCTACCCTTTTTCTTGGTCTAAATAACGTAAGGCCAGGCTGTGGGTCTCCCTCAGACAAGGGCACCGTGAATACTTCCATTAATAGTAATTTACGTCCATGTTGCACAAACAACCGTCGGTTACTAAGGTCCCAGAGTGAAGGAAATGTTTTTATTTAAAACAAGAGAGTTTCCTTCTATTAGTGTAAAGTATCATTGAATCCAACAATATCTATGTTTTTCCTTCCTGGTGGACTTTAGCAATCACTCAATTATTGATTAGAGAAAACATCTGATTTTATTTTTATTTATTATTATTTTTAATCTCACCCGAGGATTTTTTCCATTGCTTTTCAGAGAGAGTGGGAGGGGGAGAGAGAGAGAGAAACATCGATGTGATAGAGACACATCGATTGGTTGCCTCCCACACTTGCCCCAACCAGAGCCAGGGATCGAGCCTGCAACTGAGGAAAGTGCCGTTGGCTCGAATCGAACCCAGGACCCCTCAGTCTGCAGGCCGACGCTCTAACCACTGAGCCAAACCGGCCGGGGCCAGAGGGAACATTTGAAATGGCAGATTACATTCTGCTCACTGGCTGATTTTCTGCTAAGATGCTCTGCGGGCCATCGGGGAGGCTGGGCACTGACCCTCCGGGCCCTGCTCCTCTCACACGGACGGCACACAGTTCGCAGCCTGAGTCCTCACCGGTCCCCGCGCTGTTCCCGCAGGACGAACTCCTCCTGTTGGCACACGGACCCCTTGTCTCGCCTGGAGGCCCAGGGTTCCTGCGGCTGCCTGGTAGGTCTCTGTCATGGTCTTATTTTTCTTGAAAGTCTAAACCTGAAATAACAGTAGTGTTTACCTCATTTATAAATTCTCTGGTCTTGTAAACACAGCGAGCCTCTGTGGCTTTGGTTTACTGGATGGGCTGCTGCTTGGAGAAGTTTCATTTCATTCCACAAAGTGAACATTTACACGTCGCAGATGTTACACGGGCCCCACCGCGGCCTCCCTCCTTCACTCGCCGCAGTTACTGACAAGGACACTAGATTCGTCCTCGGGGAGAAATCTCCCAACATTTCAAGGCGGGATGACAGGGCTCTCGTCATAGTATTTATTTGAGTTCTGAGGGCTGGATGTTAAATTTTAAAAATAGTTTTTAATTGATTTCAGAGAGAGGAAGGGAGAGGGAGAGAGAGAGAAACATCCATGATGAGAGTCGTTGATTGGCTGCCTCCTGCACGCCCCCCGCCGGGGATGGAGCCCCGCAGGCCGGGCGTGAGGGCTGGATATTAAAAGCTAAGATGCCACCTCGGTCTTCTGACTGTGGCTGATTCCCACTGAAACACGGGCATAGGGCCGCGGCTGCCCGGAGTGCCCAAACTTACACATAGCGAAGCATGTGCGGTTCCCAAACACAGTTGGTGCAAAGGGCCCAGTGGGATCCTGGTGTCATTCTCAGATGTAGGCGACTCCTGACGAAATGTGAGCATGCAGCACATATAATTTAGCAAAAACCGAATGCCTTAGACAGCCATGCTTAGTTAAAGGTACCGTCAGTAACCTGCTTGCTTGTGGGCTATAAATAAGTTTCTATGTTCTCTCCTTGCAAACAATTACAGACCTGTCCAAACGCAAGTGCCCGGGCCTCCTACCTGACCAACCGCCTGGGCCACACGCTGCTGAACCTCTCGGCTGTCTGCCTGGAGGAGTACCTGCTGCTGCCCAGTGAGAAACCCAGGTGGGTGCAAACCTGCCCCGGGCACCGCTGTGCAGAGCCTGCTGCTTCAAATGCAACGTTCTCAGGATGTGAAGAGTCTCATAAAAGTCCCAGCAAAAGCTGTGGGGGTAACAGGCCCCCGACTGCTGACGTGCCCTGGTCGGCTGCACCCGCTGGCGTGGGGGCAGGTGGTCAGCGGCTAGTGGAGCGAGGTCCCTTCAGACCCCTCCTCTCTGCCGCACCCCGAGGCCGCCGTGTCTCCCAGCTCCTCGCGGGCTGCTCTGGGAGGGCGTTTGTGCGAATTCCCTGAGCCTCGGGGGTCTCGATGGGGCAAAAGGGGTGCTTCCCGGGGCTCTACATTGCAGCCACTGCTGCTGTGCCCCCAGAGCCAGGCAGTTTTGCACTAACACTAAAGAAGCAGGAGAGGAGCCCGGCCGGCGTGGCTCAGAGTTTGAGCGTCGACCTATGAACCGGGAGGTCAGGGGTCGATTCCTGGTCAGGGCCCAGGCCCGGGTCGGGCTCCATCCCCAGCAGGCCGCGTGCAGGGCTCTCTCTCATCATTGGTGTTTCTCTCTCTCTCCCTCCCTCCTTCTCCCTTCCTCTCTCTGAAATCAATAAAAACATATTTTAAAAATCAGAAGCAAGAGCAGGGGGACAGAACTATGCGAGGCAGGGCAGCTGGGAAGCGGGTCCCGCCAAGTGGTTGGGATCAGCTGATCTGCAGGGGAAACGGCCGTTAACGAAAATAATTAGAGAGCTGGTCGCCCCAGCCATGCCCTCCTGCCCCGGGCGGGTGTTTCCTGACAAGGTGGTAGGTTCTGAGCAGCACGCTTTCGAGGCGGCAGCCTCGCCCCGACCCCCACACGGGCAGTGCCCTCCCTGGACGCCCGCCCTGTGTGCCGGCGGCTTCCTGGGTGGCCCCGTCCCCCACGGGATGCTCAGCGGCTGCCCTTCGGGGTCACAGGTCGTCATAACCAGTGCGGTGGTGCCGGCGCCCTCGGCCGGGGGCCCCCCGCAGTAAAGCCCTAACGCCCGTCCGCCGTTTCCAGGCTCGGAGGCTGGTCTTTCGGAGCTCGAGCCCCGGATCCAGGACACGGTGCTGATTCGAGTGTGTCAGAGCCAAGAAACCTGGCAAAGGTAACGGCCTGTGTTTGTTCGTTTCTCCTGTTCCAGGAAGTATTTAGGGAGACTCGGTATCCAGACACGTCCGTGGGCTCAGGAGGAACCAAGTCAAATCCTGGTGTTTGCTCCTGTGGAGTGAAAGCGTTTCTACTGAACAGGCCCTTGAAAGAGGAAATAATTTTCCTTCAGCGCACGTAGCAAATGGTTACTGTTGTTTACGATCTGAATTCACCCGACACACCTAACGCACCTGAGAAGGTGATCGGTTTGTGCCGACCCGTCAGGACCACCGGCAGCATCCCCGGTTCCCCTGGGGGCCGGACTCTTCCCCACGTGCTGACATTCCCGACCCGCCAGGACCCAGGGCCCGGGGTGGCCCGGGGACGGCACAGACACAGTGACTGGCAGGATTTCTCCAGGGCCTGCGGGACTGTCATCTCCCGCGGCGTCACGGAGCAGGGGCGGGCAGGGATGAGGAGTGGCGGAGGAAGGACGCCTCTGTCCCCCGAGGGACTCAGAAGTGCTGAGTCACGGCAGAGGCTGTCTCGGGGGAGCCCTGGCTCAGCCTGCAGGCGGGGAGACCAACTCCAAGCTTCAGTCCCTGCGACTGGGACACAGTCTGGGGGTGTCTCGCCTGAGAAAGAAACGAGGAAAGAGCAGGTCCTGGGGGTGGTGAGGCTGCTGGTCAGCCGGCCACGTGAGGGATGAAATACGGTCCATCCGCGTGAGCCCGGGAGGCAGGCCCCTCGCTGCTTTCGTGGCTCCCGGGAGCCTGGAAAAGCTCATCTGGATTAGGGCTGTGGGTGCTGGCGTTTCCCTGTGTGATCCCGAGAGAAGTTTTTAACAGTCGTATTTCACAATCTAATCCCTGATAAAAGTCTCAACATTCACACTGCACAGTGTAATCCTGGAAGAAAGTGTGGACGGACGTATTTCACGGTGTAATCCCCGACGAAACACTGTGGCTGTGCAGACTGCTCAGCAATCCTCCCTCAGCCGGCACCACCGGGGAGGAGATTTATCCCTCGATACAAAAACATCAAGATTCGTAGCTTGATAGAAAAATACCCTAAAATGCATCCGCTGGCTTTTTGATCATAGGATGTGGCTGTTATTAGAATATGCCGAGTTAGTAGGGGAAACCTGTCCATTTCCTCTAAGAATCTTTTAGCCTTTTACTTTGGCCTTTAGGGAACATTCATAAGATGTTGTCCAATTTTCAGTCTTTCCGAAGAGAAAATAGAAAATTTTCATAGGCGCAGGCTTACTATGAATTAAGCTCATTGTGGGGTAGGCCGTGGCTCACGTGGCTCACGGAAGCTCTGTGAGTTGTTTCATTCCCGCCTGGAGTGTTTACCTTGTTCAAGCAAAACACTCGATACATTGTATCCACTTCAGAGAAAAGGTTCGGCCGCCCAGGGGAGGGGCTGTCTGTCAGCAGGTCTGGGCCGGAGCCTGCCAGTTGGTTGGTTCACTAACTTCTCCTAGACACCGGCCAGCCTTCCACCGGGAGAATATTTTTTAAAAATTCTCCTTACAATATTAATATTTTGAAACATGGACACTGATGGTTCAATTAGCACTTTTATGCTCCCAATTACCCCAACTTTAATAACGCTGTCCGTCTTCTCTTCTCCTCCGACTCCCTCCCCCCAGGCGGGGAGCCTGCTTTACGCTCTGAGCTCAGCACACGTGCAGTTCCATTTATTTTAAGAAATAATGTTCCACATTCAGTTATTAATTTGAAAGTAATCTTTTTTTTTTCTGGTCACTTTCCCCACTTTTAATTTGCAGGTCAAATTTCATTAGCTTACCAACCGAGACAGAAAAAAAAAAATGATGGGTTTAAGTTCTTTTTCTCGCTGTGGGGATATAATTATAGAGCAACATTCGCGTTTGTTCTGGGGAGAATGAATCTATTTTTAGCTGTGAATTATGTGCTTGAGATAGATGTGAAATGAGCGGACTGGAGTTTGCCGCTCGTGGCCGCCGCTCTGGGGCCTGCGTCCAGGTGCCGTCGAGGCCGACGGGCAGGCGCGCTCCTGTGCCCGGGAGAGCTGGCGAGCAGACCCGAGAGCGAGCCCACGGAGCCGTTGGACTCTCTCCCTTCCAGGTGTGGTACAACCAGAAGGCCTTCCACTCCCTCCCCTCCTACCTGAACCACCTGAACAACGTCATCCTGTGGAGGCTCCTGCCGCCTGGCGCGGACTGGAGACGGTATGGTAAGGCCGTGTCTCCCGCCCCGTCACCCGCTGCCTGCAGAGGTCAACGCTTTTACGGGCAGGAGACGCAGACACCCACCCGTTTCTAACTACACCCAAAGTCCCAGGCCCTACTTGTCTTATTTGTGTCATTCCATGGTTGTTTTTCATTTTTATTTTTAAACTAAGGAAATCTGAGCAAAGGATGGACTTTTTATTTTTTTATATGTTTTGATTGATTTCAGAGAGAGGAAGGGAGAGGGAGAGAGAAACATCAGTGATGAGAGTTATTGATCGGCTGCCTCCTGCGCGCCCCCTACTGGGGATCGAGCTGCAACCCGGCCTGGGCCCTGCCGGGGAATCGAACCAGCGACCTCCTGGATCCCAGGCCGATGCTCCAACCCCTGAGCCTCGCCGGCCGGGCTCTGTCATTAAATGTTTTTGCCTTCCTGGAATTGTGACCTCACCTGTGCGGTGGAGGGAGTGGGCGACGTGAGAGTTCTCACCTCACTAGCAGCATCTTACGAAAGCAGGACCAGTCCCCCCTCTCAGGGCAGGATGCCCGGGGTCTGTGGCAGACTCTGCAGGCGTCAGCCAGGGCTTCTGCACACGGCTCCCGGGTTCTCAGGGGTCCCCAGGCTCCGCTCAGTCACACCTACGGGAACGAGTGGACTCCCTGCTCCTCTGTTGAAAGTCTGTTGACTTGAAAAACACATTTATTCTCAATCACCGAAACTTGAGCAGCATTTTATTTATGTGCAAATCTCATTCCTAATTTGGCCTGTGCATGCAGCCCTCTTGGGGCGGGGAGTTTGTGCAGGGAACCGGGAGCACGAACATCCCGGCCCTGGGGGCGGGGGAGTTGCCACCACACACTGATCGAGGTCTCCTGAGTGCGGGGTGGGAACCGAAACGTCTCCTCACCTCCTGAGCTTCCCTTCCTCGGGCGTGGGCGGAGCTTGCGGCTGATCCTCCGTTGCCCTCCTCAGGAATAACGCTCTACAGCCACCCCTACGGAGGGGCCTTGCTGAGCGAGGACAGGATGTGAGTCGTGGGGACGTGGGGAGGGTGAGCCAACTATGGGTGAAATCTTTGNGGAAGGGGGGGGCAATGGTGCTGCCTCAGGGGTCGTGGAGGGACTGACGAGGGAGGGTTCCCGCTGCTCGCCGCGGGTCCCGCCCGCAGGCAGAGGCCCTGCTCCGTCCCCCGCCTGACCCGCCGTCTGTCGGCCCACAGCCTGGAGGGCATCCGGCAGTGCGGCGTCGCCCTCTGCATCCTGCTGGGCTTCTCTGTCCTGTCCGCCTCCATCGGGAGCTCCGTGGTCAGGGACAGGGTGACCGGCGCCAAGAGGCTGCAGCACATCAGTGGCCTGGGCTACGGCGCCTACTGGCTCACCCACTTCCTGTTCGACATGGTAGGGTGTGGGGTGAGCCCGGTGCCCCCCGGGCCCTGTTTAGGTCTGTGCGTGTGTGTGTGTGTGGTGCGGATATGGGTGTAGCATGTATGTATGTGTTTATGTGTGTGCACGTGTAGTGAGTGCATGTGTGTCTGTGCATGTGTGTCATGTGTGTGGGTGTATATGTGTGAGTGTGTGCGTGTGCATGCATGCGTGTGAGAAGGTGTGTGTTGTGTATGTGGCATGTGTAGTATGTTTAGTGTATATGTGTGTATGTGTGTGTGTGGCGTGTGTAGTATGTTTAGTGTGTATGTGTGTATGTTTGTGAGCGTGTGTGTGAATGTGTGTGGTCCCATTCGGGAGCTCTGGCACCTCAGACTATGAACACCAGAAGGGATCCTTTCACTGGCAGACGCGTCCCAGGTGAAGTCCCCTCACTGTCACCAGCAGTCACCTGGCTGCTTCGTGAGAGGCGCTGACCAGCCTCAGGCTGCGGGCCTGGGGCGCAGGGGCCTGTGCAGAGATGCGCGTTCTCGTCAGGAAGATCAGAAAATAAACAGCCACCTTTTACACGCTCTCTCCAAGGGGGTGGGGGTGGGACAGATCATTAGAGGTGGCCTGTCACCTGTCGCTCTCCCGAGCCCCTGACCTGTGCCCCAGCCCTGGCTTGTCCTGTGTGTGCTCGGCTCTGACGGAAGCTTCCAGATCCCCACCCTCAGCCCTTCAGGAGACAACCCTGCAGCTTGTTCCTGGAGCTGAATCACAAACACACCTTCAGGGGCCAACACCTCTCTCACTGTCACTCACAGTGTCCATCCCATAGGACAGTGGCGTCTTGTTATCATAAACACGACCGTCCGAGGTCGTAGGCTGTGACCTCAGTGGGGGAGGGAGGAGGGCCTGGCGCTCACCCGGCACCTGCCCCGTGCCAGGGGCTGCCCTGGCCGCTGGGATCTCAGGTCAGGCTCGTGCCTCTGACCCGCCTCAGAACTCAGCTCACTGTGTCCTTTTGAACACGCGGCTCGAATTTTACAATGTCTATGGGCCACACCTCAGCGCTCTCCACCTTTTAGGAGGTCCCTTTGTCNGGAATTTTACAATGTCTACGGGCCACACCTCAGCGCTCTCCAACTTTTAGGAGGTCCCTTTGTCTACTCAGGTCTCCCCAGCACCTGCCTGGTGAGTGTGACCCCCTGGGGGTTCCTGAAGGGACCCGCGGGATCCCCTGCCAGGTGGGGCCGGGATGGAGAGTCTGCGTTGTCGGCCCTCGAGCGATAGGTCTCAGCCCAGACTGAGGAACACTGGTCCTGGCCCCTCATCTCTGCTGAAGGACACACTCTCGGGTCAGGACAGGAAACTGCTTGTCCCTGACCCCTCCCCCCTTAGGGCAGGGCCAGCCACCGGGTCCTGGCTCACCTCCGTCCCCAAGCCGCACACTGATGGCCGTTTAACAACTTGGTGACAACAGCTTCCCAAAGAGAAGGGGAGAGAGGACAAGTGCTTGTGGGGGCCACGCTTCCCGGACACCTGAGGCCCCTGTCCCGACTTGTGGGGGCCACACTTCCCGGACACCTGAGGCCCCTGTCCCGACTTGTGGGGGCCACACTTCCCGGACACCTGAGGCCCCTGTCCCGACTTGTGGACGCTGCCCCCTCCGTGTCCCCACACGGCTGTCCCTCCTGTTCGTCTGTGTTGTCTCCCCTCTTTGAAAGGACACCGGTCGATGGATTAGGGGACAGGCATGTCCTCCTTTTACCTGATTGCCCTTTACAAGCCCCACCTCCGGGTGCACCTCCCAGTACATCCTGAGGGGCTGAGGCGTCGGCAGGTGAATCTGGGGGACAGGGAACCCCCGGGCCGCGACTCTCCAGGGCCGGTGCCGCTGTGCGGAGCCCGTGAGGCGCAAGATAAACACAGCGCAGTGGAAGCGGACATGAAAACCTGAGGCTGGGCAGGAACTCACGTGTCCGCGACGTCTCAGGCCCCTCTCCCTTTGCTTCCCAGCTCTCTTACCTGGTCTCCGCTGGCCTCTGCGTCGTTGTCGTCGCCGCCTTCGGGCTGCCAGCCTTCACCTCCCGGGAGAACCTGGCGGCCACGGCCCTGCTGCTGGCGCTGTTTGGGTGCGTGACGGGACCCGGCTGCACCATCGGGCCTGTTCCCTGAGGCGGGAAACCCCGGGGGGCTCCGAGCGGCTGTGGCTGCCTGAGCTCCTCTCCTCTCCTCTCAGGCAGTTACGTGGCTCCTGCGGGGACGCCTCTCGAGCGAGACGCCGAGCGCCCCCCGGAGGAGGCTGGGCGGCACGTGGGGGGCAGGCGGCCCTGCTCAGGGGGCCTCCCACTGCTGACAGACGGGCACCGGGGACCAACTCTCTCTTACCTTCACCGTGACGTTGGTCAGGGGCTCAGGCGCCTCGTCCCCTGGGCTCTGAAGGTGCCCACGTGGACATTTTCCGGGAGCCCTGGGTCTGGGATGTGTTCTCTCTCCTACCACAGGAGTGGACTGGAAATGTTTTGTCCAACTTTTACCACTTTTTTCTCAGAGGGAAATGAAAAGGCCGAAGAGTCATTTTATAGGTTTCTCATCAATACGCACGAATCAGGGTCGCTGCCGGTGGCCCCAGGTTGCGCTTTCTGTGTGTGTCTGCACCTGTGTCTACACGCGGGCAAGCGTGTGCGAGAGACCTGCTGGTGGCAGGGAAGGAATGGACACACCAATTTGTTGTAATTCAAGGCTGTTTTAGCAAAGCAGTCGCTCTTATTTAAGCCAAAGGTTACAAGTGAAGTGAATTTTACACAAATCACAGTCTGGCCATCGGAGCTCAGAGCGAGACCCAGCCACGTCCCTGCAGGCGGGACACGGTGGGGTCACCGGGGGCCTTTCCCAGGATGGCAGAGCCGCAGGTCCAGGTGCTCTCACGACTCTGAAACCCCGGGAGATGGCTCCCTAAGCGAGGAAGGTTGGCCGGGCAGTGAAACTTCATCCGTCATCCCGTCTTTATGCAAATAAACGTCACAGGGAAATAAACACGGTTTCCACGCGACCTGCAGGTATGCGACTCTCCCGTGGATGTATCTGATGTCCAGGGTCTTCTCCAGCTCGGACGTCGCCTTCATCGCCTACGTCTCGCTGAACTTCATCCTGGGCCTCTGCACCATGCTCATGGCCACCATGCCCCGGCTGCTGGCCATTGTCGCCAAGGACCAGGTCAGCGGACGCCGGCCAGCCTCTCAGGGCCTCTCAGGGCCTGTCAGGGCCTCTAGGGCAAGGGAAGGGGACCCCGGCCTGTCCTGACCCAGCCGGGCAGACTCTGGAGCCAGGCAGTCCCTCGGGCTCGCTGGCCGACAGAGTGTAGCTGAGCGGCTGGTTTGGGGGGGCCTGGGCGTGGGGAGGGGCTCTTAGTCCAGCTTCTGTCCCCTTTCTCTCCTGCACAGACCCTGCAGAACATCTACAAGGTCCTCAAGTGGGCCTTCACTGTTTTCCCCCCGTTCTGCCTGGGCCAGGGGCTCATCGAGCTCTGCTACAACCAGGTCAGGTTCGACCTGGCCCACAGCTTCGGTATCGACGCCTACGCCAGCCCCTTCGAGACGGGCTTCCTGGGCTGGACGTTCGTGCAGCTGGCCTCGCAGGGCACCGTGCTCCTGCTCCTCAGGCTGAGCCTGCACTGGGACCTGGTGCGGAGGCCCAGGTGCGTCTCCGGGGCTCGCCCTCTGGGCACCAGCTTCTGAATGAAGGGGGGGGAGACTCCATCCTGGAGGCTGGTGTGGGCACCTGTGGGTGGGTCTTGGAAACAGGAGGGAAGAGAGGAGACCATTTGCTGTTAGAGAAAGAAGAGGTGTCTCGAGGGCCAGCTGGGGAAGGGGAGAGAGCAGCCTGACAGGAACGTGTGGAATCTGATGAATTTGCACACATGTCACCTTCCCCCCGGCTGAGGGCCGTCAGCATCTCAGAGGCCCCAGCACCCGTCCTGTCCGTAGCCCCTGCAGGCGGCCACGTCCTTGCCACCCCTCCCCACCCGCCGGCCCCGTTTATCTCCGTTGATTTGTTTCTCATGCATTTTGAATGTGACATAGATGTATTGTGTCATATACACTCCCGAGTATCTGGAATATTTCCGCATCATCTGTGTTCTCTCTCGGGTTCATCTCTCCACTGGGGAAAATTATACAAGGAAAGGACCTCGGGACACTGGGGGCCAGATGTGGATATTCTGTTTTATTTTTAAATTGTATTTATTTATTTATTTTTTAAAAAATATATCTTTATTGATTTCAGAGAGAGGAAAGGAGAGGGAGAGAGAGATAGAAACATCAATGATGAGAGTCATTGATCGGCTGCAGCCCGCAACCTGGGCATGTGCCCTGACCGGGAATCGAACCCCGATCGCCGGGATCCTAGGTTGACGCTCAACCGCTGAGCCACGCCCGGCCGGGCATCTATTTTATTTTAAATATCCGAAAATTTTAAAATATTTTAAGACCGGAGAAATTGCAGACCGAGTGCAGAGCCCCGTGTGCCGAGCACCGGCCTCCCACGGGGATACCCAATAGTGTGGTGACAAAGAACCTGACAACGAGACATTGACAAAGCAGGACGCTGGTGTCGGGACAGGACGGATGCAGGGTCCGCACCCGTTAGTGGTTCACATGCTGGCATATTGTGGTTTACACGGGAGACTGATGTTCACCTGTGAGTAAAAATGAACCAGGTTAAAAATCCCGAGGAGGAGCCCGGCCGGCGGGGCTCAGCTGTTGAGCATCAACCTAGGACCCAGGCGGTCGCTGGTTCGATTCCCGCTCAGGGCACAGGCCTGGGTTGCGGGCTCCTCGGTCCCCAGCAGGGGGCGAGCAGGAGGCGGCCGATCAATGACTCTCATCAGCGATATTCAACCCTCTCTCCCTCTCCCTTCCTCCCTCTGAAACCAATAAAGACATATTTTTAAAAAAAATCACGTGGAGGCATGAAGAGGAAGCAGCTCAGGTGTGAGCGGATGAGTGAGAATTTGAAATTGAATGTGAGTCCGTCTGACAAACGCCTTTGAAGGGCAGCGAGCGAGTCGCTGTGGGACGAGCCTGCTTCCTGCGCGGTCCGTTCATACAGCCCAGCGCCTGCCCTGCGGTTGGTGTGCGGGGGCTTCTCCCTGCAGCCCCGGCTGCTGGTGACCCACCTGCTAGAGCTGCCGAGACGGCTCGATTCCTCGTAACAGCTTCCAGGGGCTTTTCTCCATCCGGCTCAGGTCCCATTCTGTTTTCCACACAGCTGAGAGCAGCTCCAGTGGCGTCTGCACTCGCTGTCTCTCAGGGACACCCACGTCCCCTTCAGGTCAGGGGACGCCGACTCCGGCCTGTCGTCAGAACCGGGGGCATCTCCAGGCCTCGCTCCTGTCCTGACAGGCCTCTCACCTTCCCCCTCTCCAGCCGCCTCCAGTCCCGCCTCCCAGGTGTGAACTGACCGACCGTCTCTTCCCAGGGGTCGCTCTGCCGTCCAAGGCACGGTCACGGCCTTCGAGGACAGGGACGTGGCAGAGGAGCAGACGCGGGTGTTGAAGGGAAGAACCGGTGGCGACCTCCTGGTGCTGTGCAACCTGAGCAAGAGCTACGGGGGCTTCTCCCGCAGGACGGCGGCCGTGCAGGACGTGAGCCTGGGCCTGCGCAGAGGGGAGGTGAGGACCCGCCTGCTTGTATCACTTTTTAAAAAAAGTGTTTTAATTGATTTTTTTAGAGAGAGGGGAAGGGAGAGAGAGAAACGTCAGTGATGAGAGAGCCATGGATCGGCTGCCTCCTGCTCGCCCCCTGCTGGGGATCCAGCCCCCAACCCCGCTTGTGCCCTGACCAGGAATCGAACCTTCGACCTCTTGGTTCATGGGTCAGCGCTCAACCACTGAGCCACACTGCCCAGTGTGCCTTTGTACTAAGTACTTGAATGTGCAGTGAAGTCAGGGGGACAATCAGGATTGTGTTGACGTGACCTGCCACTGCTACAGTCACCAAGGGGAGATGGCGAGGAGCTCACTGGGACGGCCGCAGGGTGGCTTCCACCTGTCGCCCTCTCGAGTTTCCCACACGTGGAGCCACCTGTGTGCCGGGCACAGCTGGACCGGTGACTCCACTCAAGTGCCAGGATCATTTCGGAAATACTCTGCAGTCCATAAGCTGCTTCACGCAAACGGTTGCTTTTAAACGCCCACAAATATCGCAAAAATGCTGCCTCCGAGCTGCTGAAAGGTGCTGTTCTGACCCAGTTTGACGTGCGGTTTAACCGTTTCCCCCGTTCAGTGCTTCGGGCTTCTGGGGGTGAACGGAGCCGGGAAGAGCACCACGTTCAAGATGCTGAGCGGGGACGAGCCCCCGACCGCAGGCCACGCCGTGGTCAGGACGCCCGCGGGGTGAGATCCGCACTCAATCGCCTTACTGCCCGTAGAGCTAGTGACTGAGCCCAGAGAACCCGACGGCCTGGGTCCTGTGCACCAAGGGCCAGGAGGTCACCCCCCGAGTTCTCTTCACTTCAGGCCTCCTGGGGGAGCGGGAGGGGGGCAGCCTCCACGTGTGAGAGAAACGAGCCCAGGACGCTGGTGGGAGCCCAGGGTCAGCACAGGTGGGGAGGATGTAGCAGGTGAACTTGTGGTGCCCAGAGGGGCTGGGGGTGTCTGCTCGGTGCCCCCCACTCGGCTGCGCGGGAAACGGTGCGTGTGGGGGGGGTTGGAGGGGGACTGGCCCTTCCGCCTTCACTGCTCACTGTCCCCCTCAGCTCCAGACGCCCCGCAACTGGAAAGGGGCGCACACCTGGTAAATATTTCTACGAACCGAGATAAATCCACGTCTGCAAAGCATGTCCATCGGCCTCATGGTCCACCTAGAGCGCAGGCTCGTCTCGGGGACCAACGGGACGTTTCCCCCCCTCCCCTCGGCAGGCCTCTGACTGTCCCTCTTTGCTTCTCTAAACCATCGGAACAACGCCGGAGGGTGGTCTGTCTGCCCAGTTACTTAAAGGGTGGTCCGTCTATTTCACCAAGTGTGACGGTTTGAAAATTATATACATATTATATACATATTTATTTCATATATATGTATTTATTATATACATATATGTATTTATTATATACATATATATGTATTTATTATATACATACAAATTAATATGTATATTAATTTATACAAAATTATATACATATTTCTTATCGCAGGGAGATATCACTTTGCAATTTTATTATAAGTTCTGTAAGGAGAGTTTTAAATTTATCAGTTAGCACTTATGCACATGGACATATCTTACGGTCCGTTCTTTACACAGATTTATATCGTAAATAAGATATTTCTGAATATTGATCTGCCCTCACCTTTTTTCAGTACGTTTATTTTGTCCTGGACTTAAATCTTTCTTAGCTGTTAAATTTCACATAGTATTTTAAATGGATAGCTCATAAGAAAAATTAGTTTGTTGTTGAAATCTTTCATTTCCAGTCCTTACTATTAAATTACTTTTATTTTTATTTTTTGTTGTATTTTCATAGTTTGTATTTTCTTACAAAAACGCAATTTAAAAAAATTTTACTGCTTTTTTATAGTCATAATTATTATTACCACAAGATGTGTATTTTTGTCCTGTCCCTCTAACAGTATGTTTGGGATTTTTTCCTATAGAATTATCTTTATACTTTCTCAACTTTGACTATTTTACTTTAAAAAGAATGAAAGACTGAAGTTTCTTCAGGAATTTATTAAACTTTGCTCTTCTTGGTAAACTCTCCACCACGCTCCCCTCGGCCTTGCTGTGGTGTCCGATTGTTAACTTCTTGATCTGAATGACTTTTAAACTCTTTTAAAAAATAAATGATCAAATCCTTACGTTTATAAACATGCTTCTTGGCACAGCTTTACCTTGATCCTAAAAATTTAATCACTGACATTATTGCTGCCACTTTCTCTAAACGACGTGTGTAAGTTTGATTTCGTCTTTCAAAAACTTACATACAAGAGTATTTCTAGATCCTCAGAGTCTTGTGTTCCTGGGCTTAATATTTTTTCATTTTATTTTTTATTTCGTATTAGTCTCAGGTGTACAGGGGGATGCACAGGACAGTGTGAGAAATACAGTCCATGATATGGGCTTAATAAAAGTCTTTAAAATGTTTGCATTGACGTGTAAGTTCCATGTAGAAAAGAGCATCTTGATACATTTTCACAAAGTAAATCTGTACCAGCTGAAAAACAGGACAAGACCATCCCATTAAAACCCCTTCTGGGTAACGCCTACCCTGATTTTTTAAAAATGTGGTTTTGTGTATTATTAGCTCATTTCTACCTCCTGGAGTCCGTGCAGCTTCATGACCACGAGTGTCCCGGACACCACAGTCTCCTCTTGCTCCTTTGTAAAAACCTCGGTACGACTTGTGTCTCGATCTCGGGCCCCTTGCAGGCTTCTTTACAATCTGCCTACTGACCCTGGGCCCCTGGGCTCGGGGACGGAGCCGCCCGCAGACTTGGCCGGTTGCACAGAGATGACAACGTTTCTCGTGGACGCAGAGGCCCGGGCTCGTGCTCCGGCAGAGCCGAGGGGAACCTTTCACTGTTTCTCCCACCCAGAGGCCGCTCGCCTGGTCTTCGCCGTCTCCCTGGTGGGCGCAGGCGGGCCTCCTGCGCAGGCGATGCGCGCCTTCCCTGGCGACGGAAAGGCGGTGCGATCCCCGCTTAGCGTTCCCTTTTCACTTCCTGCCTTGGGTCATTTTAGGGCTGCTTGCTCTCGCTAGTTTTTATTTGACGACTCAGAGGTGTCGTTCATATAAGAAGGACAGACGAGTGCTTATTTTTTCCATTTTACTTACCCAGTTTTCAGGATCACCGGTTTCCAGTCATCCTGGGGGGGGGGTGTGTGTTTTGGTGACATCGTCCTGGCTCCTTCTGACCGATGTGGGAGAGGTCACGGGGTCGGCTGTGTTCCTGCCCCGTCCGCTCCTTACGATACCCTTTTCCTGCCTCCTGTTCCCCGCGGGCCCTGTCCCCTCGTCCGTATTCTGGGATAGTGACAACTCCAGGGTTGGAACGAAGATTCGTCCGTGACACCTCATGGGAAAGTCACCTTCTTCTCCCTGGAGAACGACCCCCTCTCCTAACTTAAGTGAAGACAGTGGAGGCTCGGCACCCAGCCGGCCTCACCCCGGGGGCCCCGGAGGAACCGCCACGCCTGTGTCGGCTCTCAGCTGCTACAATTGTTGCCACCCGCGGGCAGAAGATACAGTTACACTCGGGCTAGTGGGTAAAAAGTCAATGTTTCAAGCTAATTGTGTCCAAGAGCTTAAACCAGAGACGTCGCCCTCTGAGGGAGGGGGTGAGGTGCTCCCCCAGTGGCAGCCCCCCGAGCACCCTGAGGGGACCCCCGTGTGGGGTCGGAGCCGCTCGCATCACGCTGTCGGTTTTCCCGGCGGCCACAGGCGTGAGAAGGTGTTTTTGTTGATTGGGTGGCACATTTTTTTGGATAACTGCTCTACGTACAAGTACAAAAGGACAAAATAATCGGAATTCAAAAGGAAACAGAAATACGTTGTTTTATTTTGTCATCCCCGGGAGGCTGACTGTCTCTTTTATATCTCATTCCGTTGTTTGTGAAATAATTGGAAAATGGAATTCAAACGGCTGCCCTGGAAAGCAGGAACGAATCTGCATCTCCGCGACGGCCCGCAAGCCCCTTATTGGGCTGCAGATCTGTGTAATTAGCTTAATTATAGCTAAATCACACTTGCATTAATTATATTTTTAACCTTCATTATTTGTGATGTTAATTGTACATTGGTATTCAAGGGATTAAAGGGGCAGTTAGATCACAATGGAGTTTTAACCGCGGAGGGAGCCGGCGCGCACCTTCCTGCGCGGGGAGCTCGCCGCACACAGCGGCGCTGGGTTCCTTCTGAAACCGCGGCAAGCCACCTGGAGGTGCCGCTCCCCCAAATTCAGTTATTTAAATTTTTCGTCGGTTCAGGGGCGTCTCCTGACACACAGCTTACGTCCAAGGGCCCGTGAATCTGGCTTCCAGAGGCCAGTCCTCCAGGACCCAGGACCGCAGCCCAGCACCCACCGGAGGCTGAGGGGAGCGGGTGCATCAGCGGGGACACCCGCGGGGAGGTGTGGGTGGGGCGGCGGGACCTCAGCTGTTTGGGGGCGAGCAGGCGTCCAGTACTGACCGGGAGAGTCCTTTCTTGGCTCTCCCTGATGTGCTTTGGCCGCTTGCGCTACTGCTGAAAATACAAAGGAAACGAAATGCCCGACGTGAAAGGTAGAGCCCGGGCAAGACCTTTCCAGACGTTAAGACATGGGCTTGGCAACGATCCTGGGGAGCTTCAGGCATTTTTTCAGTTTTCGGAATTTCTTGCTCTGGTACGTCGGTAAATGAAGAGAAAAAAGGCTGCATTGTGATCAAGGTCGTTTCGGTGCCAGACCCTGGGCGGGAGATGCCTCACCTTCCCCAGTGGTGCCGAGGCACAGGGCTGGCGGGGTGCTGACGTCCCGGCCGGCTGGGGACGGGAGCGCAGGCGCCTGCGAACTGAACACAGGTGTGAGAGTTTCTAAGACGCCCGGAAGGAAACACAGCGCAGGCCCCCGACGCCGGCCTCAGGCCTGTTCTCGCGCGGGAACGCGTCCGGGCGTCTCGCGTGTTCGGCTGAATGGAGTTACCGGGTCGCGTGGCTGAGACGCTGTAAGTGAGGCGTCCGAGCGATGGCCACGCTGACTCGCCGACGTCCTCCCGTCTCACCAGCTGCCTCTTCGCTGTTGTCCTTTGTGCGGGGGTTTTCGTCCCGCTAGTTTGTTTCTGCTTTTGTTCCCTTTGCTTTGGGCGTGAGGCTCAAAGCGGTCATCGCAGGCCCGCAGCAGGAAGCTTATCCTCATCGTTTCTCCTAAGAGTTTTACGGTTTCAGATCTCAGATTCAAGTCCTCGGCCCCCTTTGGGCTGATTTCTGTGTGTGGCGTAAGGCAGAGGCCCAGCCCCCCTCGGGTTTGCTGGGCGTACCCCCCTCTCACCCAATCTGTACTCTTGGTTCTCTGCCAAAGCGATCGGCCGCAGGTGACCGGGCTTATCCCTGGGCCCACGGTTCCGTGCGGGCCTGCGGGCCGGGGCTGTGCCAGGGCCACGCTGCTCTGATTCCCGCAGCTTTGTAACGTAGTTTGAAACCAGGGGCTAGGATGCCTCCAGCTTTGTTATTTTTTCCTCAAGATTGTTTCTGGCTCTTCAGGATCTTTTGTGGCTCCGTTACGACGTCCAGGATTTTTTCTGTGAAAAACGCCGTTGGGATTTTAATAAGGATTGTATTGAACCTGTGGATTTCTTTGGGTAGTGTGGGCGTTTTTAGCGTATTAGTTTTTTCAGTCCATGATAATGGCCTGTCTTTTCATGTATTCGCGATTTCGGTTTCTCTCTTGGATGTCTTACAGTTTCACCTCTTCAGTTAAATGTATTCCTAAGTATTTTTTCTTTCTGGTGCAGTGGTAAGTGGGACTGTTACCTAATTTCTCTGATAGTTCATTGTCAGAATATAGAAATGTAACTGATTTTTGTATATTGATTTTGTATACTGCAACTTCGATGAATTCATTTACTACTTCTAACAGGTTTTGTGCGTGTGTATGTGTATATGTGTGCATGTGTACATATGTGTGCACGTGCGCACACATGTGCACAGGCGTGTATCGGCGCATGCATGTGTATCCCTGTGTGTATATGTGTCTCTGTGTGTATGTGTGTGCATGCATATGCATGCATGTGTGCAGGTGTGTGCGTATGCGTGTGCAGGTGTGTATGCGTGTGTTGTGTGTGCATGTGTGTGTAGAGACAGACGCTATGTCTCCTTTTGTGCCTTATGCTCTCTCTGTGTCCGTCTGGAAACTGTTGCTAATCCGGGGCCGGGAGGATTGATGCTCCCGCCTTCTTCCTCAGAAATCACGGAGGGCGACCATACCTTCTCCTTCATCCCTCTGTTTTTCACCGGTTCAGGGACAGATTATATAAAATTGTTATAAGTTATTTTTTAAACCTGATACTCAAGATAGTTCAGTCACCGGTACACTAGGTGTCACATGAATTGTTTTTTGGGAAACACCAGCTATGACGGTGGTTCCCTGAGCATCCTTTGTGCCAACTACAGAGCTCGGTGCTTGTGCCTTTTCTTTAACACGCAAAGCAGCCATGGCCACAGAGTCCGACTGTTCGACGGCCACGCGGCTGCTCCTGGCGCGCTGGCCCTGGGGCTCGGTTGGGCCTCAGCGGCCTCCGCGTGGAGCCAGAGCGCAGGGCCGGTGCCTCCCAGAGACGGCGCGTCCTGACCTGCGCCCCGCTCTGCAGGGTGGACGCGCCTCTGTTCTCCGCCGCGGCGGCCGGCGTGCGCGTGGGCTACTGTCCGCAGCAGGACGCCCTGGACGAGCTGCTGACCGGCCGGGAGCACCTCCACTACTACTGCCGCCTGCGCGGGATCCCCGCCCCGCACATCCCGGAGGTGAGGCCCCGGGACGGCCCCCGAGGGCTGCCTGGCAGCACCTCCCGTCCCCCTGTGGCTCTCAGCCCGTGAGAAGGAACCAGTGTCAGACAAATGGACCCCGACGGTGTTTCCAATATGAGGACACTGGAGAAACACCAGGAAATGTTTCTGTGGTGCTTGTGTTGCATTTTCAGCTCGACCTGGGCGAGGAGGGCGGGCGCTGGGAGCCCATGGGTGAGGTCACTGGCGCCGTGGTGTCCCCTCTGGCCTCCTCTCCCGCGCTCTTTACACGGCCGGGCTGTAGCTTTGTATTTAGGGACAAATGTCATAGAGTCGGTGTCCCCAGGGCCCAGATTTGGAAACAAGGCCTGTGGTTGATGGTGGCCCCGGAGGGAGGGAAGCAGCCCCGTGTGCTGGGGGCGCTGGTGTTCCCTGGGGCTGGGCTGCAGTGACCACCTCCCGACTTGATTAAAGGCCCCCAGCGGCGGGTGAGCGACGCTGTCCCCTCCTGACCCACCTGCAGTTACTGCATAAACCAGGCTCCCCTGTGGACTGCGGCGGGGTCTCGGGGAAAGGGCCTTTTTGTCCCGTGTGGACACTAAAACCTCCCTCCCAGTTCCCTGCTCGCTGAGACGCTCGCTCAGGCTTCATTCCCAGTCAGTTCCTCTCAGTCTCTGCTTCGGGCTCACCTGTCTCTGCTCACCTTGGGGTGGCTCCCTGTCCGGGCCCACCCTGGACCGGGTGTTTCTGGCCCGAGCTGGCCCCCTGGGCTCCAGACCATCACCCCGACATCTCACAGGCCCAGGAGGCCCAGCAGGGTCCCGGGGCCCTATCTGTTCTTTCTCAGTTACCCCCAGTAGTGAGGGGACTGTGTATGGGGGGGTCAGGGCAGAGGGAGGAGTGGATGGGGGCCCAGCGGGTGGGGGCTGTTCACAGAGACTCCTCTCTTCCAGGTGGCGGGGGACCTGGTGAGGCGCCTGCAGCTGGGAGCCCACGTGGACAAGCCCGTGGCCACCTACAGCAGGGGCACCCAGCGGAAGCTGTCCGTGGCCCTGGCCCTGCTGGGGAAGCCGGACCTCCTGCTGCTGGTGAGCGGTGGGGACATGGGAGACCCGCAGGTGTCCCAGCCCCTCCGGGCTCCTCCAGGAGCAGAGTCCCGATTTGCAGGGCGGGGTCCCTGAAGCAACAGGCTCTTCAGCCCTGGGCCAGCGCCCCCCAAACACAGCCATCGACATTTCACTGGGCTTTTACAGACATAAAGTTTAGTTTTGAGAGTCGCTTTTATTTATCAAATTGAAGATTCAATAAACTGTAACATTAAAAACAGTTCTTTAAAAAAATAGGAACTCACCTGCATCTAAAACCAACATGTTTGCCCCCTAGCGAGTGTCAGCCTTCGCTGTCTCAGGCACGTAGGCCAGTGACTAAAATTCTGCTGTGCACCAGAAGTATGGGGTTTTTTTTGCCGATCTGACAGAAAAAAAGGTATAATTTTGACTCACTCACACCGGGCGGCTATTGCCGGGCTGGCTGTTGTCATTTTTTACTCGACAATCTCAGGGAAACATGGTCAGCGCCCCCGACGAAACAGTCACGTGTTGCGTGTGTTAAAAATCCTTGCGGCACTGGCTGAGAACCGCCGCCCTGAGCTCTTAAGAAAACGTGTTGCTTCCTGACTTCAGAAAGCTCAGAAATGCCTCCCACACGCTTCTCTCAGAAACGGCTCCGATGGGAAGCACTTGGCATTTATTGAAGGAGAAATTCAGGTTCCGAGAAATTTCACTTGATTTGATGTTGCTCAATAAGTGAAGCTTTTTAGGGCTGTCGCACGTCTTTCTTGGGTGCATCTTTCTGACATTTCATAGCCGCTGAGGTTGGGTTTCGGAAACATCAGGGCGGGCTCAGCCTCCGGCCGCCACCGGGAGCCGAGGCCCACGTGGAGGTGCCGGGGTGGGGCTCCCTGCGGGGCGCTGAGGACACCTGCCCCGGAGCCGGATCGGGGGCTCCTCCTGGCCGGGCCCCTGGCCCGTCACTGTGTCTCCTGCAGGACGAGCCCCGCTCGGGGATGGACCCTCCTCCTGGCCGGGCCCCTGGTCCCTCACTGTGTCTCCTGCAGGACGAGCCCAGCCCGGGGATGGACCCTCCTCCTGGCCGGCCCCTGGCCCCTCACTGTGTCTCTCTCCTGCAGGACGAGCCCAGCTCGGGGATGGACCCCTGCTCGAAGCGGTCTCTGTGGGAAGCCATAAGGAAGGAGGTCCAGGAGGGCTGTGCCGCGGTGCTGACCTCGCACAGGTGAGCTACGCACGGGGGGGCTGCGGGCCGAGGCCGGGAGGGCCGAGGGCGGGCTCCCGGCTGCCCACAGGGTCCTCGGTGCCCACAGCGGCACTGCTGCTCCACCATAGAGCTCAGGACACTGCCACAGGGGCAGGGTGAGCCTCAGCCAAGGCCACGCAGCCAGCGGGGTGGAGCTGGAGTCGGGGTCTACACCCCGCGTCTGCCACGGACCACACCCCTCCCTGCTTGTGCTCCGAGCACCGGGCCCTCGGCCGGGCCTCCTGCGGCCGCCCCTGGGTCCCCTCGGCCACGGCAGCTTCTCCCAGCAGGAGGGTGAGCGGACGGGAGGCCAGCAGCTGCTGAGTTGGGGCTCAGGTTCCCTTCCTGGCGGAATCACCTGTGTAATTAGATTTCAAAACCTTCCCGGCCGCTCGGCTCCGCGGACACTAGGCCTGGGAGCTCCATGGCGAGTGGGCCCTGGGATTTGGCCTATGAAATTCCCCGACGCAGGGATCAGGCTCCTCCTGCTTCTCTCCCCTCTCCTGTGGGGCGTCAGCGCGTCTGTAGGACTCTCGGGGGCGCCCACGGATCCCTGAGTCCCGGCGCTTTTCAGTCGTGTGTTTCTGTTCTCAGGTTGGTCACCGCTGTTGACTCGGCCTCGCGGTCACCGCTTCTCTTTCCCGCCACCTCACACCCGCCGCGGCCCCTGCGGCGAATCCTGTGTTTAATTTATCGTACTCCTTGCCTGCAAGAGTCCCACTCGTCTCTTTTTAAAAACATCGTTTTCATCTCCTTCAGAATCTCTGTTAATTATTATCATCAGGCTTTTCTTAAGTTCTGTTTTTATTGATTTTAGAGAGAGGAAGGGAGAGGGAGAGAAACGTCAATGACGAGAGTCACTGACCGGCTGCCTCCTGCGCGCCCCCGACTGGGATCGAGCCCCCAGCCCGGGCCTGTGCCCCGACCGGGATCGAACCCCGATCGCCTGGATCCCAGGTCGACGCCCGGCTTTAGTTCTTCAAACATGGTTTCTTTTGGTCGGTTGAACACGTTGATAGTGGCTTCACTGAAGACTGTCTCCTGCTAAGTCTCACGTCCAGGGACACGTAGAAACAGCTTTTACTGACTTGTTTCCCGAGTACACATCGAACATTCTTTGCTTTCTGAGTGTTTATAACTTTTGTTGAAAAGTGAACCTTTTACAACAATGCAATTAAAAATTATAAATCTTCATTAAATATTTTATATCAGAACAATGTAGATTTATATTACAAAATAAATTACAAATTACAATAATAACCATTATATTATATTTTATATTCTAGCATGTTAAATATCACTTGTATTTATTTTTGTATATAGTAAATATATTTTATATAATTTATTTACTTACATTTAATACTTACGTGTATTATATTTTACACTTGAACTTATACATACCACTAATATTTTATATCACAATAATTTCATATGATATTACTTTTTATATTATAATAATTTCCTGTTTTAAAAATATCCTTTTACTTTCCTTTATTCGATACATCTTTCCAGTGATTCGGGATTTCATTTAAGCGCATCAGCAACTCTTGTTTCTTTTCATGAGACTTTCACCTTTTGTGAGAAGGTCGCTCCCACCTGTCGCGCAGGTGGAGCTACTGTTGCTGAAAGGTCCCCTCTTTATACTTTGTAGCTGCTCCCCTGGGCTGGAGACGCGGGCCCTAGTCGCGCGTCTGTGAGAGGTGTGGCCGGCCCCACGCGGGTCCCGGGGGGGTGACCCGCCCGCCTGCCGCCCGACGGCCCGTCTGCTGGGCGCCTGGCCCCAGGACGCCGCTCACCTGTCTCCTTCCTCCCCCAGCGTGGACGAGTGTGAGGCCCTCTGCGCCCGGCTCGCCATCATGGTCGGCGGCAGCTTCCGGTGCCTGGGGTCCCCCCAGCACGTCAGGGACAGGTGGGTGCCCCCCTCTTCACGCCCAGCCCGCCGCGGGCCAGCAGCGAGGGGGGCGCGGGGAGCGGAGGTCTGGTTTCGTGGTGACAGTGGCCTCAGAACACGTTGGGGCGCGTTCCTCGTCTTCTGTTTTTTGGAAGGATTTATGGAGAATTGGTCTTAATTTTTTATTAAACGTGTGTGAGGATTCACCAGGGATGCCACCCGGGCCGGGCACTTTCTTTCTGGGTAGCTTCAAAATTACTAATTTCATCTCTCCACCGGTTACAGGTCCGTTTGCACCCTCTTTCTTCTTGAGTTGGGTTCGGCAGTTTTTGCTTTTCTAGAAATGTGTCCCTTTAATTTGTATAAAGTACTGACACAGCTGCTCGTCTGCCCCGTCTCCCCGTGACAGGGCTGGTCCCCGTCGCTCTTTCCCGACGCTGGCCGCTCGAGGCCCTGTCCGTCCAGCTTGGCCCCGGAGGGCGGTCGTCGGAAGGGACCCGGCTTCCGCGTTGCCGGCTCTCTTTGTGCCTCGTTGAGTCCCAGCCTGACCGTCATGGTTTCCCTCCTCTTTGCTGGGGTCTCGGTTCCCTCTCCTTGACCCGTGTCCCAGGTGACAGGTTAGGTTATCGCTTTGTGACCTTTTTAATTTAATTTTTTTTTAATTAATCTTCACCTGAGGGTATTTTGTCCATTGCATTTTCAGAGAGAGAGGAAGGAGGGAGAGAGAGACACGTGGATGTGAGGGGGACACATCGACGGGTTGCCTCCCGTATGCACCCCGACGGGGGGCGGGGAGCGAACCCGCAACCCAGGTGGGTACCCTCGACTGGGAATCGAACCCGAGACCCTCTGGTGTGCAGGCCGACGCTCCACCCACTGAGCAGTGCCGGCCGGGGCGACCTTTCTTTCTTTTAAATACGGGCATTAAGACTCTGTGTGTGTATTTCTGTGGAGTGGGCAGACCGTAAGGAGATGCTGTTCAGTGCCCGTGCTCGGCACCCGGGCTGTGGCAATGGAAGGACGTAGCTTCGGGAAGCCCCGTGGGTTCTGGGGTCACCGTCTGACTCCTCAGGCGTGGCCGCTCCGGCCCCAGAGCCGCCTGCAACTCCGCAGTGTGGGCACCGCCCCCCGGCCCAGTCGCGCCGGCTGGTCGCACAGTCGGGAGCGTTGTTCCACGTGAGGGTGACAGAGCCCCGCCTGGCGGGACGGCCCACGCGCCCGTTTGCCCTCCCCGGCCGCACCCCAGTCCCTGCAGACCCGGACCCGTCCTGCCCGGGGGGCGCCGGCCGGCTGGGGCTCCCCCAGCTCACACCTGCTTCCACGGTTGGCATTTTCACGCCTCGTCATCAGACGGGTGTTCTGGTGATTTTTTTTTTTTTAAAAAAAGCAGTTTCTGTGCCAATATAAGTTGAATGAGAGCAAACTCCACGACTGAGCTGGAATTAATCCCTGAATCCGTGTCTGAGGAGCCGAGACCCCCCAGCAATTGGGAAAAGTCACTGCCTCCCTGTGAACTGGGCCCGGCCCGTAGTGACCGTGTTTTCTTCCCGCCCGCCGCTCAGGTTTGGGGACGGCTACACCGTCAGAGTGTGGGTCCCCGAGGAGGGAGGTCACCACGCCATCTCCGGCTGCCTGGAGCTGCTTTTCCCCGGAGCCCGGCTTAAGGTAGGGCCGACGTTCTGCCGTAAACCCCTCGCAGGCGCGGTTTCTCTCCCGCCTCAGTCCTGGGCTGCGACACGCTGCCTGTTGTCCCGGCCTCGCCGCCGAGCAGGGGCCTCCAGCGGCGCCGGTTGGCGCTGAGAATGGCGACTCGCCTGCTGGCCGCGGGTGGGGCGCCCCGAGGAGACTGCAGCCCCCCTTGTCCTCGGGCGCGGCCCCACCGCCTGGCTCAGCTCCCTCAGGGGGGATAACTGCGAACTTTAGTTCCTTCCCGTGAAAAACGTTGAAACCCTCAAGCCTATAACCCACCGTAATAGGAATGATTCACGGGAAGCACCTGTGCTCGAGGTCCTGGTCCCCCACCAAGCGATGCAAGTGTGTCCCCGAGCCCGCGGCGTCTTCCCGCGGGGACTGGGCGGACCGGCGGGCGTCAGGCCCCAGCCTGCTGAGTCCTGGGCCGCGTTCTGCATGGTGACCCTCCAGGAGCCACAGCTCCAGCGCCCGGGGGTCCCGTGTGGGCTGGTGCGGCTCCGGCTCTTATGACTCCCAGGAGGAGCCGTCCCCGCGGCGGCCGTGACCTGCCGATTTCCACAGTGAGAGCGATGAGATCCTGCCAGGCAGGGCACGCTGGCCGGACACGGGCATCCCCGCCGCGTGCGCCCCAGAGGCCCCCGTGGGACAGTCACGGGCTCTCCGGACGGCGCAGAGCCTCCCAGGGGACAGCGGGAGCCCAGCGGGGGGGGGGGGCCTTATCCCGTAGGCGTCCCCAGGAGCCGTCCTCACTAACCACCCGCCGGAGACTCACAGAGGTGACCCGCTCACCTGGCTGGTGCTCACGCGTGTGGTCAGTGTGGCCGACTGTTTGCCGATGGCGTATCGACCGCGTGACCTCTCGTTTGGGCCTCCAGGGACAGCGCCTCCCTTTGCTGGAGTTCCACGTGCCCAAGGGGTCGGGCCGCTTGGCCGACCTGCTGCAGGTTCTGGAGAACAGCAAGGCTGCGCTGAGCATCCGGCGCTACGCCGTCGGCCAGGCCTCGCTGGAGCAGGTGGGCCACCTGGGCGCGGGCCGGGCGCCGCGGGAGTCTCCGGGCTGTGCTGGGTCACCAGCGGGAGGCACCAATGCCCGCAGGGACTCGCCGCCGGGTCTCGCCAAAGCTGACGAGGGCTGGGGGCTGCGTATGGTCGCTCCCCCCTCGGTCCCGTGCGATGGGGCCGGGGCGCGTTCGCAGTTGCGTCGGCCGTGCGGTGGGTAAACCCCGCCCCTTAACCTTGCCTGTCCGCCGGGCCCTCCGCCACCCACACCCCGATGACCTGGGGCACCCCTGGGACTGGGTGGTCGCTAACTTTGGAAAGACAGGCGCTCGGTGTCGTTCTAAAGGCGAGACTGAGGCACCGGGGACCCCCGGGGACCCACCCCCTGTCCAGACATTGGTCACCCCCGGAGTTTGACTTCAGTGGCCTTACCTGTTTGGGGGGGTCTCGGAGGGTGGTATGGGTGAGTGATTTGTGTTCATTTTCTTAATCCGCCCACAAGGACATTTTCTCCATCGATTTCTAGAGAGAGATGGGGTGGGCACGTCGGTGGGTTGCCTCCTGCATGAGTCTGGACTGGGGTCGGGGATCGAACCTGCACCCAGGTCGTGCCTTTGACCGGAAATCGAACCCAGGACCCTTCAGTCTGTGGGCCGAGGCTCTGACCGCTGAGACACCAGCAAGGGCTCATTTGTGTGTTTTTTTAGGCACAGTGGGGCGGAGTTTGGGAGGATTTTCCTTCTTATAATATTTGAGAACAGAAGGCCGCGTGTTCTTGTAGGTTAACGATCATTTTCACTTTCTTTCAGGTGTTTATTGATTTTGCTACTGAGCAGCAGCCGGCTCCAGGCCCGTCCCCCAAGGGCCGCCGGCCACCTCCCCTGCCTGTCTGAGCCCCAGGAAGGGGGCCCGTCTCCATCGCAGCCAGTCCTCGGCGAGCAGAGGAGCGAGCGCGGCCTGGGGGGGACGTGCTCGGGCCCTCGGAGGGTCTCACCTTCCTTCACTTTCCGCTTTTCACTGTCAATTAACAACCCCCCAACTGAGCGGCGTTTCTTTCCCGCAGACTTGGGGGTCCCCCAACACAGGCACCCCTAGAGCCCGGGTGGGGACATCAGGTGGCCTCAGAGACGGTTCACTCAAAACATTTCACTTTCTCCATGAGGCCCCGAGGCCCCGAGGTCAGAACCTTCCCAGCATCATTACGGGAAACAGCACCAGGACTATGTTCTATTTTGTCATATTTTCACTTGATAAACTTACAAGCATCTAAATAAAAATCCAGTGATTTAAATGCAAACTTTTCCTTACACTGGGTGACGTTCTGTGGTACGGCATGAAAAATAATTGCTGTTTTTTTTCATCTAAAAGATGCTTTTTGAAAAAGGACTTAAAGTGCTTTTGAGTCAATGCTTTAGCGAAACTGAATAAATTGTAATCTGTATCGTTTATAAAAGTTTTACCAGAATTTCACAGGTTATAATTTTAGGGGAGCCTACAAAGAAATAGGATGTGAATGTATTTTCTTTTCCTTAATTTGGATTAAGAATCACCATTTTTAAACTGTTTCAAATCAGCAGCTCTCAGCTGCGTCCAGCAGCTCCGGGGAGGTTGGTAGGAAGCCGGCGCCCGGCCCCCCCGGGTCCGAAACTCAGGGCGGGAGCCCTGGGACCTGAATCCCAAACAAGCCCCCCAGTGATCCTGACCCACATTCCAGTTGTCCAAACACACTCAGCACAATCTACAGTCTGTAAATATTAATTACAAACATTTTAACGTTCTTTCGAAAGATCCCAGCATCACTGTCTTCCAAGCACAGCCCCAGATACTCGCGCCGACCCCCGGCTCTCAAGGACGCTGCGCACCCGGCGTTTTAGTAAATCCATCAGGTCAGGCGTCGGCCGCTGAGAATCGTCGCGGGTCCGACACTTCTGCGCCCAGGCCCGTCTCCACTCCCAGCAGCGGCCTCCAAAACCTCGGCTCCGACTCCGCCTTAACACTTAACGTTAGCAATTCAGTGCTGAGCCACAGTATCGGCGATCAAAGGAAACACTATCTCGGGGCGATTCTTTAAGGAGGAAAGATCCCCTTAAATCCGTGTCCCCGGGAGGTCGCCCTGCGCGCAGTCGGGATGGTTTTCATCGCTCGGGTTGATTCCCGCGACTCGCGCTTCCTTAAAGAAGTTACTGTCTAGGGCTTTACGGTGACTCTTCCCCGATTCGCACGCCGGCTCCGTGTCGAATGGAGGGCGTCCTCCTTTGTCGCCGTGGTGGGTGAGTCAGTAAATGAAACCGTGAGACGCGGCCCTGCTGACCGGCGGCGGACAGGCGGGCTGCTCGGGGAGCGGGTGGAGTCTGGGCGACGGGCCGTCCCGCACAGGGAGCGGCTCCCCCAGCTCTCGCGGCGGGAAACGCTTAGCGTTCGGCCCTTTTCCTCGGCGGCGTCCTCTCCTGGTCTCCCAGCTGCCGCCTCGTGAGGTTCGCTTTCAGGCGCGCATTTGAACAATCAACAGGGAGGAAGGGGAACCCGCCGGCGAAAATGCCGCATCCCCGAGGACCGGCCTCGAAAGGTCAGCTCCCGCGTGAATGTCAGAAATGTCACCGCGCTGATAAATTATGCAGGTATTTTATGACTCTCGAGTTAAACATTTGTCTCGAGGCCTTTGGGTTTAAGGTCACCCCGCCGAGGCTTTTAAACAAACCCCGTCTTCGAAAGCCTTCTGCGCGGCGCCCTGCCGGGCCGAGGTAACGGTGGTTCCCCGGGTCCCAGCGACGCAGCTTCCAGCCCAAAGTTTATCTTCATCTGGATATTTAAACAGATAACGTACTGAAGCTGTCGGGCAAACTCCAGGCTGTAAAAAGCAAATAAGAATGATCGTTTTGTGATCGTAAAGAACGGGGGGCTTAGGGACCTAGTCAGCTCGGGTTTGTGGACACTGGGCCGGAAAATCGCTCCCCGTGGTCACTGCGAACATCTCACAAAACGCGCCCCCGCCCCCCACGCCCGCGAATTACTGTTTATAAATGTGACACAGATAGGTCACTCCCACATTTTCCTGCCCATCTGCGGGACGCAGGCTTTTAAAGTGTTCAAACGGGTTGGACCATGGGTCCGCCTCTGGCTTTCCGGGGGCCGCACTGCTGAGCTCAGCGGTGGCCTGCGTGTCCCACGCGGACTCGTTCCATGTCCTTTCAGTCACCGGGGCGCGGCCCCTGCCCCGCACCCGTTCCTCTCATCAGCACCTCCGACCCCGCTGGGGGTGCGTTAGGAGATGGCGGCACCGTAAACGCGGGGGAGTGGGAGGAAAAGCCGCGAGCTCTGTCCCTGAGACGCACACAGTCCGGCTGGGAGGCCAGGGGAGGCCTCTGGGCCCAGCGATTACAGTGGGGTTCCCTCTATTGTTTTTATGTCTTTTTTAAAAAATTTGTTTTTATTGTTGAACATATTACAGATGCTCCCCCCCCCCTTTTTTTTTAGCATAGAAGGTGAGGTTCTGACCGTCCCCAGGACATTTATGTCCCGTGGGTGAGGCTTCGTGTGGCCGCATTTCATCTGTTGCCGAGCTGTGGTTGTGTGTTAGCCTCCTGGCTTCATTCACACAGAACCGGGGCCTGGCTCCGGGTGATCCTTAGTGGGTGTCAGGAGCTGATGAGACACGGCTCCCACCCACCCCCTCGCCCTGTGTCACACGGGGCGTGTTCTGCCCACGCGGGATCTCGGGAAAATCTCACCCGCATTTGCACTGACTGTGCAGCTGGACGCTAACCATTTGCAAAAGGTGACGATGCACTGAGTGGCCGCCTGTATTTATGGGGTCCAGGGAATAAAGGCCCGGGAGGGTTTTGTCAGTGGCCGGGTCTATTCGAGACGCTTTCAAATCATCTAAGCAGCCTCCCGCTGCGCGGACAACGCCACAGTGTCCGTGGAGCACAGCGTCCAAGGCTGCAGTGAGCGGCCTCCCGGGCGCGCTGACCTCGGGGCCCGGCCCGCCCCCCGGATGCCTCTTCTCACGCTCACTCCCCGCGTGCGCCCAGGTTCGTTCTATGAGGGACTTCGCCCCTTCACATCCGAGAATTTTCTCCGTGGTTCCTCTGTTTGGAAAGCTTTCCCCCCTGGGCCTGCTGAACGAGACGCTGAACGATTTAGGGCCGTGGGAGGAAGATGGGTCTGGAATCAGAAGGGCCTATTTGTAAATCGTGCCTCTTTCTCCTGGGAATGGTGGGAGCACTGGGGTGACCTCCCATCTCTCCCTCAGCTCCCCCTCGGTGATGGGCACGAAGACTGTCTAATCCAATGGCCAACATCTGAAGGCCCTGCTTCCGGCATTGTTTCCCATTCGTTTTAGTTGTTTAAGACGGGAGGGCAGACCTGGCTCCTGGTTACTCCATATTATCAGAAACGAGCCTCTCTGTAAATATCAGTTTTACTGGGGACAATAAAGCCAGGCAGTAAGAACACGGGGCTTTCAAACCCTTGCGGAGTGATGGGTCTCACTTTGCGGTCGCGTTGGGCTCTTTAGAGACAGAACACACAGGACCGTCCGGAGAGAGCACACGGCTGTTTGAATCACATCTAAATTAAGTAGCAAACTTTGCGTCAAAATGTCCAGCACAGCGTTCGACCGGATTAAAGACTAACGCTGGGGAGGTGGGCAGGGGGATGTCCCGCACTCCATTCATTTCCTCGCATTAAATCAAATTCCTCCTGTTTCCTGAGACAATATTGGCTCTGGAACTGCTCACAGTCACAGAGGCTCCGATGCCGGTTATTTTGAACGCGAGCTACTTTTCTCTCTCTACGGGATAGGAGCTCTGTCCTAAGGCACCACGTGGCTATGACTAGCTCTAACCCAAGGTTTATTAACCTGAAATCAATGTTGGAACACAGGTTGTGTGCAGCACTTAGAGGTATTTCCAAAAAACTGTTCCAAGATCTCAAGAGTTAAGCTGTATTTTTGGTGAATATTCTCAGAGGAACGTCCCCAAGGAGACTCTCACCACATCCCATCGTTATTCTGCATTTAAATAATGAAGAAATGCAAATTGTTTTTCATGCATATGGATTAGAACATTCAATTAGTTTTCAATTATGTGCCCGGCTGCCTTTAAGAAACCCCCAGTCTGTGCGGCGCCAACACCAGCTCTCTCTTCTTTTTCCTTTTTCTGAACCTTAACCAATTTTAAGAAATCGGCTAACAACCCTGCAGCATCTCGTGAACTGAGGAAGAAAGAGTTCCCGAGGCTTGGAAATAAAGAGATAGCCCGTCAGAGAGGTAAGTGGGAATTGCTAGCAGAGCATGGAGAAAGGACATCCTAGCAACAGGAGCCACATCCAGAGATTCATCCACCGACCTACCCACCCATCCACCCACCCATCCACCCACCCATCCACCCATCCATCCATCCATCCATCCATCCATCCATCCATCCATCCACCCACCCATCCATCCATCCATCCATCCATCCATCCATCCATCCATCCATCCATCCTGCATGCCCTTTACTGGAGATGGAGCCAGAAACCCAGGCATGTGCCCTGACAGGAATCGAACCAGCAACCTCCTGGTGCATGGGACAACGCCCAACCAACTGAGCCACACCGGCCAGGGCCATAGGACAATTACTAATAATTTCACTCATAAGATTTGTGAGAAGAGCAATTTGATTTTGATATTAACAGACCTTTTTGAAAGGAAGACAAATGAGGGAACATTAATGAGAGGAATCTGAGATTGTACAAAAAGTGATTTATAAAAGTGGATGTTAATTCGTCATGTGCTTGGAGGTCGTTTCATAATTTTTCTTTGGTTATTTTTAAAGAAATTCAGGCCTCTTCAAGGGAAGCATGCTCTATGGCCCTACCCAAGTAATTATTTGATAGAAGCACTACAGGGATC